GGGGTTGACGACAGAAATGTGCCCGCGCGAAAACGGCGATTTTCGTAGGCAAGCATGTTTGACGACAATCAGCGCTGGCAAACTGGCGCAACAAGTGCAACACTGTTCCAGATTCCTTCTCAGCCAGCCTCGCAACACGTACAGCAACATTCACCATTTCTTAGCTAATTACGTACGACCTTTCCGTTACGGGTTAACATTTATTGGCACCATGCGCCCTACTTTTGCGAAACCTTGCACTGTTGTACAAGGCCGTGCCAGCCTACACCTTCACCCACTTATTCGTTTCGTTTAATGGCGTTTATTTGAAAACAGAAGCAGCAAAAGGATGAACCAGGAAGGGAGCTTTAAAACCGAAATATAAAATAGTGAAGGCCGCCAGACCCAACTTGAAATCGCCCCGATGAGTTCGGGGAATACTGGTGGGAAGGTTGAACTCATTTGATTGGCTCACGCATCTGTGAAAATTTTGGCTCCCGCCAAAACGATTTTTCGATGCACAGCACGCCGTCGCATTTCTACATGCTGCACCCCCACGACTGTTGCCGAGCGATGGTTTGCATCGCTGGGCGAACTTCCACTTCAAGTTGGAACTGGGTTTCACAACTAGCCGAAAGCGGGTCCCTAAGCCACTAGTTTTTTTGCGTAGACTATCATACCTGAGAGAGCCTAGATATTCTGGCCTAGGGACGTAACTATCAACATAGCTCGCGTGCGTAATGTAGTAATCCGTGGCTGCTTATTGCATCGTCATTGTTGCAACGTTGCCGTCGCAATCTTAGCAAGTCGCGTTGAGCGCGCAATCGCCACGTTTCGTGTCTCCATCAGCCCCTCTCGCTCTCCATTGCGTCACCGTCACCTACATCCGTGGCTTCGTGATCACCCTGAAAAGCCCTCTCGCCCTCTCCCCTCCCGTCCCGTTTCCCTCGTTCACTCCCCTCCTGTTCCGCCGCCCTCGCGCTCTCCCCTCTCCTCCCGTTGCTCTCGCGCTCTCCTCTCCCCTGCCGTCGCCTTCACCCTCTCCCTCACGTCCCGTCGCCCTCGCACTCTCCCCTCTGGTCCTGCTGCTCTCATTCTCTCTCCTCCCGTCACATCGCTCTCGCGCTCTCTCTTCCCGTTACGTTGCTCTTACGCTCTCCCTTTCCGTTACGTAGCTCTCACACTCTTCCTGCCCGTCCCGTCGCCCTCTCGCTCTCCCTCCCGTCCCTAAGGGTACAATCCGAAGTAGACATGTTCAGAAAGAAAGTGTCACAAACGTATTTGTGACTAATTGTAATACTCCGAAATCATTATCGTGACTAATTGTGTATCACCGGAAATCATGAACAGTAAGTACCTGTCAAAATGTCATATAGTATTAAATAGGCTGTAGTGAGTTGCACTATAGGGGGTACACAAACTCTCTTGATAGCCTTCGTGTACTCCCCCCTTTACCCTAATCACCATCATTCTCCTACCTAACTCATAGTAGTTAATAGTTCATATCCTGACATGGCATGAGCTAGGTTACCCTAGGCCTTCGTTGTGACGCTCCATGATGCCCCGTGACGCCTCATAACGCCCCGTTAAGCCCCGTGACGACATTAAATCCTACGTCCACAGCAGCGCGCGCGCGCACGGCATGCGCCGCGCTCAGAAAACGCCGCCGTGCGCCCTATCCGCTCTGCCTGCGCCCCACCCCGTCCCATGCTGCACCATGCCCTGCCGCCAGCGCGCACAGCCGCACGCACGCCACCGTGCACGATCAGACGCGCGCAGCTGCTGTACGCGCACGCACTGCTGCATACACAATAGGCGCTGCGCACGATCAGTTACGCGCGCAGCTAACGCGCACTAGGAGCCGCGCCTGCAGCAGCAGCAACTGCGCGTACCTTCGCGACAGTCCAGCCCGCTTTCTACCGCACTAGTCTATACCCTACCGAAGTTGACCGCTCTCCACCTCACTCGTTCACACTCAACCGCACTCAACCGCACTCGCCGCACCCTACCACTCTAGACCGTACTCCACCCCACTCGTACGTACTATCTACCACCAACGTACTACCATAGGCGTTCCTATAGGCGGCTGGCAGCCGCGGTCGACTCTCCTCGCGATGTTTAGTGTTAGTGTCTCATACGGCGTACCGCTCCCCGCCTAGTACCCCTCATATCACCACCCTGGCATGTCTTAGTTCCGTCTGCTCCTAGCGCATAGCATGGCATCCTCTCGAGTCCTACGTTTCGACGCTGAAGGTCGTCCGATCGAGTTCAACACGCGGCTTACCCATGCCCAACGCCTACGTCAGGATGGCGCCAACCTCTTTGCTCACGCATCGGGCATAGTCCAGACCCATCCGCGCCCTAGTTCCCTGCCTACTGTGCCTCCGCCCACTGCCTTCAGCAGGCTGAGTATGATAGAATATTCTTAGCGCGCGACGTCTTGGAGTCCCGCAATGCCGCTGCTTGCAACGCACTCATCGACCTTCTGACGCCGACTGAGGCAGGCCACTTCTCACAGTGCGACTCGGCAAAGGATCTGTACGACGCTATTCTTGCTTGCTATCACACCCCTTCCTCTGCCTCCCTCAGTCGCCTCCTTATGCCCTTTGTGTTCCCTCACCTAGGCTCGTTCGAGACTGTATCCGACCTTGTCACCCACCTCTGCTCACTTGACACTAGCTTTCGTGCTGCGTGCACTGAGGAACAGCTCAAACTTGCCCCACCACCTATGTGGCTCACCCTACACTGGTTAGTCACTCGCCTCCCTGACCGCCTCTCCTCTGCCCGCGACGTGCTTCTCCTGAAGGCCCCACTGAGCTCACCATCGATCTTGTTGAATCTACACTCACTAAGATCGAGAGCAACCTCCACGCTGTTGCCGCTGCCACTGCTGCAGTGCCTCCCCGTCTCTTTAACAGTTACGTTGCACCCCAGTTTCCCATGTTCACCGCTTCTCTTGTCACTGCTGCGTTGTCTGGTACTGAGAAAACTGTAGCTGTTTCTGTTGCTAGTGGGTAGAAACGAAGCAAGGGAGATAGGAGAGGGGGGAAGGGTGGTGGTGGTGGTGGAGGTGGTGGCGGCACTGGTGGTCCAGGTGGTAGTGGAGGTGGTGGCGTCGGTGCAGGTGGTGGCAACAGTGCAAGTGCGTCTAGTGGAGGCGGCACTGCAGGTGGTACTGGGCTTGCGGGCCCCACCACAGGGGGTGTTGGGCCAGTTGCTTGGTACACGGCACAGCAGCGACAGCAGTCCCAGCAGCAGCAGCCGCTGCAAGGACAACAGCAGCAGGGACAGCAGCATCAGGGACAACAGTAGCAGGAACTTGGTGTGTCAGGGAGCTCTGGACGTGGCGGTGGTCTGCCCAGTTGGACGCTGCGTGGTGTTACTCCTCCTCCCTGCCCCTACGTGGTTCGGACGGGCTCTCGTCAGGGTCACCCCTGTGGGCGTCTTCTGTGGAGATAAATCGTACAACGGGAGCTTGACCACGGGGAAGGCACGTGTGTGAGAGGGATCTCTGCGTTCGTTCACTTAGTCGTTTGCTGGTGTGTTCTCTGCTTGCACATGACGAAGTGTGATAATGGCGCGGCAGATGAGAGTGAGGTTGGCTTGGCAAGAACCACCCTTTTTTAGAATATAATAGGCCGCTTGGCTGTCGCTTCGAAGTAGGACGTGCGAGCGTTGGATCTCGCAGCTAAAGGTCGACAGTGCCCAGAGAATCCCGGCGAGTTCGCGAAGCGTGCTCGATGCGACTGATAGTGACTGGGGAAATCGGAAGGATTGCGAGCCGACACGGCCATCTGGCGTGGAATAACAGCTTCCCCGAGCATGGTCGCTTGCATTGACGTACATGACGATGTCGTACACATTTGGGTTGTGGAAGCAGGAACCGTTGAAAACGTCGAACTGTGTCAGCCAGAATCGTAACTCATCGATCGACTCCGACGTCAAACGGATGGAGTCTCCCCAGGATTGACACGCACTGATTTGAGAGATCAGGTTATGTGAGAATGCACGGGCTATGGTACACAGCGCCATAGCCATGGAAGCTAGCATGCCTGTCACCCTAGCTACGCGTCGAACCAGGATGCGACGCCCTTGTGTGCTGATCTGACAAATTTGCTCGAGCTCGTCGAACAACCGATCTCGACGGGTAACGTCGACGGAGAAGGATGTTGTACTAGTATCCAATATGAGACCAAGGAATTTAAGACGTTGCGATGGCTCGAGCTGTGATTTGTCTGTGTTGACGATAAAACCCGCGGACCTGAGGTCGTCAAGAATGATGGTGCGGGTCCGGAACGCTTCGGATCGCGTAGCACATATAAACAAAAGGTCGTCAACGTAAGGAATTAATCGGATCCCCCTACTGCGCCAACGCTTTGCCAGCTGCTTAATTAGCTGTGTGAACACGAAGGGCGCTGTAGCAAGCCCGAAGGGTAGTGACAGAAACTGGTATCGTTGGCCTTGCAGGGAAAATCCGAGGAATCGCCAAAATGACGGGTGAATGCCCACGTGGTGATAACCTGACTTGAGGTCTATGGTGAACAACCAATCGCCTTTATGGACTAGGTCGGGGACCCTGTTGAGTTCTTCGTACCGAAATCGAGGGATGGAAAGGAATGAATTTACATGCCGTAGGTCCAGTATAAGCCGTTTCTTAGAAGGCTGAACAACCACATATAGTGGGCTAACACAGGTGAGCGGCTCCTCGGCTGGGACAATGCGGGCCGCGCCTGAAGCGAGTAGGTCAGCCACTGCTTCGACCGCAAAAGCCGTGTGTTGCAACGCTCCCGAGTGGTTCGGCGCATGGTGCGGGGTAGGTTCGTGTGACCGCCACGGTAGGCAATACCCCGACACAACGACTGACAAGATGAAGCGGCTCGTGCACCAGGAGTTCCACCATGTGGAACGTTCCCGTAAGCGTCCTGGCATGTGTCGCACATCACCTTGTGTCTTCATGGTGTGGCATGAAGCCAAATTCGGGAGGGGATGGATAAGATCACGCACGGGATTATCTAGTCATATTAAACGCAACGCGTTGTAGGGAGATACCCTCCTATGACCATGGCTGACGTGTAGGGCGCACATGCCCACCCATGTGTTACACAATTGTAGAATCCATCGTCCTCTTTCAATCGGACTCTCTCTTCTATCTCTTCTCTCTGTTTGTCTCTTTCATGTCTCCCTCTTCTCTCTGATTGTCTCTGACTTTCTTCTTCTTCTTCTTCTTCTTCTTCTTCTTCTTCTTCTTCTTCTTCTTCTTCTTCTTCTTCTTCTTCTTCTTCTTCTTCTTCTTCTTCTTCTTCTTCTTCTTCTTCTTCTTCTTCTTCTTCTTCTTCTTCTTCTTCTTCTTCTTCTTCTTCTTCTTCTTCTTCTTCTTCTTTTCTTTAAGAGTGAAGTTTAGGTGCGTTTCGCATAATCACGCTCTCAGTTATGATAGTCTTTTTGTTTGTTTGTTTGTTTGTTTGTTTGTTTGTTTTTGTTTTGTTTTTGTTTTTGCTTTTCTTTTTGGCTCTTTTAAAATAAATAACTCTTAACATTGATGTATATCGGGAATGTTTAGACAGAAGGATAAGTCCAAATAGTCTTTATAATAAAGAAGACAACCAAACACAAATCTTAAACAATCTTAGAAGGTTGATTGGCCCCTTGGCTCCGCTGCGGACAATCGGCTATTCCGTGACCGGGCTCTCGGCAATAGAAGCAACGCCCATCGCCATCCCTACGCCAGGTCCAATGGCATTCCCCTTGGCCTCGATTACGAGGTGCAGGGCTTGGACGGGAGGTGGATGTGGGCTCGCGTGGCCTTTTTTTGCTGGCCGCCACAATCTGGGTGGCGGCTTTAACGTTTTTATCTTCCACCACCTCGCCGTACTTAATCTTTAAAGCCATGTTGGCTACCTCAAAACCGCGCTGATCCGCGGTAAACAAGAAATGAATCTTTTCTTCAGCCTCGTCAATGATTTGCTGAAGGTAATCAGTGAGTTGCTCGCCACCGTGGGAAGGTAAAATCGAAAACGCATGACGAGCGATAGCTTGAATGCGTTCAAAGCTAAAAAGTTGAGTACGAATGCCGTCGCTTTTGACGAGTAAGGAGCGTAATTGAGGACGCGCAGGAGGTATGGGGGCAAGACTAATGGTTGCTGGATTGGCCTTGAGGCGAGTGGTATTACCTTCGTCGAGGTTCTCAACGTTGTCGTGGTCGTCGTCGTCGACACCCTCGGGATTAAGAGGAGGAGGGGGAGCGCGGGGACGGGCTGCTGCTGCTGCTGCTGCGGGAGCTTGACGAACAGGATCAGCTGTTGTTGCGGGTTCACCGTTGTTGCCTCGCTGAAGCGCCGCGAGAAGGCCGATCACGTGGCCGATTGCGTCGTTATTATTTGCTGCCGCTCCGGTGTTGTTTCCAGTGTAGCGCGCCGAATAATTCTCGGGTACACGGCACCCTGTAGAAGCGCTGGATCGCGCCATAACGCGTTCGCCGCCAGTTTCGGTGAACATTCGCCTCAGATTCTGCTGGCTGGCGGGGTCAAGGCGAGCAATGATTTCAGCGATTTTTGCAAGCCCAGCTGCCGGATTCTGCGGATCTTGCTGCTCGCCCTGATTCGCGCGCCGATTTACAGAATCGGGGCGGTGATCCTCGCGTGCTGGCTCCCGAATCTGACGCTCGCCACGCGCAGAATCCCGCTCGCGACTTGCACGTGCAGAATCGCGGTCGCGATCTGCACGTGCAGAATCTCGCTGATTGCGATCTGCACATGCAGAATCGCGATGATTGCGATCTGCCTGTGCAGGACCGCGATCATTGCGGTCTTGTGCTTGGGTTGCAGGACCCTGGCGCGCGGGGGCGTTTTTGCCTGGCTGAGTCTAGTCGTTGGTTGCACGTGCAGCTCGCCCCTCGACATGAAATCCGGGGGGCCCACGCTCGTTACCAGGTCCGTCGGCGACGACATTAGGTGCAACAGGAGGAGGCTGTCTCGCGCCATTCAACAGGTCCAGCACGGTCAATGTTGCGTTTCCGCCATTTCGACGTAGCGATCTTGAGCGATCGCGGGAGGAAGAAGCGCGATCCTCATCTCTTGGCGGGGAAGCACGCCTTCCGCTGCTGCGCGTAACCATTCGTGGAGCGGGGGGTCGGCCGGTTACTGCGGAAACAAAGCCAGACGCCATGGTTGAAAACCTAACGTTGATCACGTCGTTGATTAAAGTGCTCCTATGCCCAAGTCTAGGCATAGGAGGGGTTTAGGGAATGTGCTGGTGGTAAGCAAAATTGGAGATCTGAAAATGCAAATGAGACTAGGTGGCAGGTCTGAGAGACCTGCGGGAATGAAAAGGAGTTTGTCTCCTTTACAGCAAACTCTTCTCCTAGTCGAATCACAATCTTCAAATTTTTGAAGTTTAACTTAAAAAATTTTACATGTGTACGTGGCTGGTTGGCGTCCCACTCCTCGTCACGTGCCCAGCGCAGACATTCCGCCTGTGACGGCGCCCTCCTGCCACGTCGACCTCGGGATACCACCCCCGAGGTCGTCCTCGCAGAAACCACCCCCGGCGACCTTCGCACGCGTCACCCGGGTATCCCGGTCGACCGGGCAACCCCGCCTGGTCGTCCAGCCCATTTGGACGCCGGCTACGCCAAGCCCGGCGTCCCCAGGTCGGCGTCATGGTGTCCAGAACGGCGTCCAAGCGCCCAAGCCGGCGTCCAGACGCCCGGGACGCCGAGCAAGCGCTCAGGTCGGCGTCCAGCCTCCCGGGACGCCGAGCAGACGCCCAAGGAGGTGTCCAAACGCCCAGGACGGCATCGAGGCGCCCGGGACGCTGAGCAGACGCCCAGCTCGGCGTCCTTCCTCCCAGGACCCCGCGCAGACGCCCTGGTCGGCGTCCACCTGCTCGGCGCCCTTCAACCAATCGCCCACCAGATCCACGCCCTTGCAGTGGCCCCATGCCCACTGCTGCAGGTCGGCTGCATTCCCCCCGCACAACCGACCACGAGGTCGGCTCCGCCCAAGCGAGGACGGGGCCAAACACAACCCCCGCCGACATCTTCACCCTCCGGGTCAGTGCTTCGCTCAGCTCACAGACCGCCTCCGTACTCACTACGGCTTTGGCCCCGCTCCGGACTGGGCCCCAGTGGTTTACTCTAGTGGTCCAGTGTTGTTGCAGATGACAGCAATAGAGTTGCTTGATGCTTTGCGATCTGATTCTGCTATGTATGCTGATGTTGACTGCTACTGGATCTGTTTGTTCGCGTGTTCGTAGTCTAGTATCCTTGCCTGGTGCTAGTGTATTTACTAGCCCAGGTGCTCCTACAGCTGAGACGTGACTCTCTTTCACGGTGGGCTCTGGCGCTTCTCAATGCTTCTTCCGTGACCATACGTCTCTCACTCTGCTTTCTGCTCCGGTTTCAGTTGCACTGGCTGATCCTACTTCTGGACCAGCAGTTGCACGCGGCACTAATACCCTCACGTGCCCGGTTGTCCCTTTTGGTGTCCTCTCTCGTCTCCACATCCCCTCATTCTCTCGGAACTTGGTGGGTGTTGGATACCTTCAGGACCGCCACGTAGGCGTCTGGTTTCCTCCTTCTGAGCGGGTTGGGACCTGCGTGGATGGTGACACCTACGCCCCGCTGGCCGAGTTTCACCGGGAGGACAGCTCTGGTCTCTTCACACTGCACACCGACTCTGCAAACCGATTAATGCTTTTGTTGCTCTTGAAGTCGTACAGGTCCATATCGTGTTGTTCAGTGAGAAGAGTTACACAGAGGCGCACCTCAGTCTCCTTAAGTTCGAGGAAGCGAGCCCGTCTGATGCCACATAGGACCAAGTCCGACAATGACGACTATGAAAAGCAGCGAATCAAGAAGGTTGCATCCGCTTCGCACGAACTTGTCGCGTAAGTCCCTGCAACAATTGATGTACTATCCTGTAAAGCGTTTTCTCCTGCTTTCATCGTTAGATGTACCATAAGCTTGTTCTACATTACGCTATCTGTAGCTTCATAAAAATGCTTCAGATGTTGCCCTGCTAACGCAGCTGAATTTCAATACTCTCTATAAGACCTAATACCTTTTTGCTCTATTGATGACATGTTACGCAAAAGAATCATCAACGAAACCATCAGTTGAAACCAATACTGCGTTTCTGGTGTTGTGTGTGTGTGTGTGTGTGTGTATGTGTGTGTGTGTGTCTCTGTCAGTGTCTGTGTGTGTGTGCATGTGTGTGTGTGTGTATGTGTATGTGTGTGTGTGTGTGTGCGTGTGTGTGTGTGTGTGCGTGTGTGTGTGTGTCTGTGTGTGTGTGTGTGTGTCTGTGTGTGTGTGTGTGTGTGTGTGTTTGTTTGTTTGTTTGTTTGTTTGTTTTTTTTTTTGCGTCTCTAACTCCAATCCATTTCAATCTCCATCATGTTGTTCTTGTTGCTGTGCACATGTACACTAAAGGGTACGAAGGCGAAGGTGATCCGCGGCCGCTGACGAGGCGGAACTCGGTAAGACACTGGTTCATAGTGATGTTGTGCATACGAGTATTCATTGGCGATGTTCCCATTGATAACGGGAGTGGAGTGTTGGCCCCGCCCTCGCTTGGGCAACGCCGACAACTTGGTCGGATGTACGGGAGTTGCAGCCGACCGTTCACAGTGGGAGAGCTGCTCGACGGGCTTCGTCGAGCTGCAGGGTGTCACTGTGGGGTTTCCGTCGACCAGGGGTGCTCGACGGGCGCAACTGACTGGTCAGGGTGATGGGTGGGCCGTCTTCCAGGAGGGGCAGTTCGACCGGGAGGTCGACGGAGCTGCTGGTCGGCCTACAGTTTGACCGGGGAGGTCGACGGAGCAGCCGTCGACCTGACAAGTGAGCAGCAGTCAACGAGAGGATCTCGGCGACAACCGCTGACGGTTCTGGTCGACGGAAGGGGGTCCATCGACCAAGGGGTAGCTGTGGTCACCTGATGGTCGACCAGAGGGACCTGGTGGTCGACCGGAGGGGCCCGATGGTCGACCAGGGGCAGTGGCGGTCGACCGAAAGGACCTAGTGGTGTCCAGGTCGATCGGGTAACCTGCTCGACGAGTTATGCGGTGGCACGCGAACGTCGTCGAGGTCGCGATGGCGAATGCGAGTTCGGGTTGGTATCCCGAAGTCAATGTGGCTCGTCAGGCGCAGACAACAGCCGACGGATGCCCAACGAGGCAAGTCGGGCCAATCGTCTGCGCGCACCTGCGAGCGTGCGCACTGCTGTCTTCTACGGGGCAACGCTGGACAGCCGCTCTGCTGCAGCGTTGGCACGCTGTCAACCTGTTGCGTTGGCAGGTCGCCTTTCTGCAGTGCTGGCGCGGCTCCTCTACGCAACGCTGGCGCGCGGTCGACCATGTAGTGCTGGCGGTCGACCAGGCTAGTTGCAGAGTTGCTAGGTGCCTGATGTAGTCCATTCTGTCATTGCTTGTTGATTCATTCTGTAATTCCAACTTCTCCCGTGAATGTGGAAGCAAAGCTACGATCACTCATAGTAGTTCGTGCCAACCCCCGTAGTCTAGCTCATTACCGTTGTAGAGTGAATCTCCGCACCCATGTCCACTGATGTTGATGCTTGTGGTGCTGCTACGAAATACTGGGCATTTTATTCATCCCTTGCTGTTGAATTGCAAGATCAGCTGGAGCTTGGTTAGATCATTAACCGTCTCCGTCGAGATTGGAAGTGAAGGCGAGGGAAGATTACCCAGTGTCTTCTGGTCCGGTTGAAGATGCAGATTTTGGAGCAGGGTTGGTGTTGGTAACACTCGATAGTGGTGGTGCAAAAGCTTGTTGAGAACCGCCACCCCTACTCTGTAAGTGGGCTTTACCACTGTTTCTGACCACATCAGACGCTACTTTTGCCAAGCTTTGCATTGTTGTACAAAGCTGAGTCGGCCTACACCTCGAGCCAACCGTAACCTCACTATTCGCACTGCATTGGCTAGTTCGCAACATCGCAATACCATTTCCAGATTTTTCAATATTTAGTGTTGATCACTTGTTTTTCTTTGACGTCTTGATGCGTTCTGGTTCAATTGCACTTGTAAGAGTATGTAAGATTAATTGCTGGCAAAGCGCATGTAAGTGATGAAAGGATATAGAAATTTCGCAGTGTACTTATTTAATCGTATTTGTCTATTATTCCTCCATTGTTGCGTGGCAAGTAGCACAACTTGCTTCCCTCGTTTCAGTCAGGGAATGAGGGTCGCGCTTCGTCTCCCGTGGAACTACAGTTCGCTGCGCGGGAAACTCGAATTCATCGCGAGCGCGCTGTGTCCAACAACGAAGCACGAGCTTCCGCCTTTGCCGTGGAACCCTGGTGGTCAAAACAGATCCCGATTTGCTGAGCGTGAAGGATCAATCCCGAGCCAGACATGTCTTCCCTTTCCAGTAGCCCAAACAGCTCAACTCATGGTTCGGCACCTCCGAAGCAAACCTCCGTCCTTGGCGCGCGTCGCGAATTTGTAGTCAGCGACACCGTAAGCGCCACGCCCAGGCTGGGAAAGGGTACAGACGAATGTCTCGGCAGTGATTCCTCGAGGATGCATTGCCGCTTCGGACCGCTTCGCCTCGCCCATCCACGATTCCGCCGTGCACTCCGTGCTGATGCGCCAAAAGGCAGGGCTCGGAACGCAGCAAATCCAGCAAGCAGTCAACCAGCGACATACATGCGTGACTATGGTCGCAGCATGACGTTCAATCAACAGCACCTTTGTAGCCTCATGGAGCATGGGCTAGCTGATGCCCGCCATGCCATGTCCCTGTACCGCCATCGGCGAATTAGTCAAAAAGCTTCATGCGTCGCCCTTCCCTGATCCCTGCTTCATGCTTTCTTTTCCGGCTGCATCCGCGTGCCCCTGGTTCCACATCGCCAATTCCTCAGCTCCACTTATTCCGCCCACGCCGCTCGTCGGTGCCTGGGCCCAGGGTCCCTTCTCCGGCTCGCTCGACTCATATCCGTTGGACTGCTAGCAATACTGGACTCCTCCGACGTTGGCCTTGTCCACACTCTACACTAGTGCTGCCACTTCGCCTCACTAGCTCTCTAGCTCATTCGTTACCATCTCGTGACGAGAGCTTACTAGCTTGTCGAAACAGCACCCGTAGGAGCTCTCGAATCTCCGCTAAATGAAACCAGCTCGGACGTAATACAATGCGTTAGTTTCGCGTGGTTTCAAACGAAACTTTAGAGCGGCTAGTATCTGGCGACTAGGACGAAGTGTGTGTGTTGCTAACCTGGCGCGTGGAGCAGCATAAAGAGGGGGCACTGAGGGGGTCAAGCGGGTGAGAGGGCGGGGAGGGAACCCATGGCCCCCAGTGCGCAGCTATCAGGGGGAGGCGATCCGAAGTCCAACAAGGTAGAAATTACAGATCTATGGGTTAAAAACTCGTCGAAGCTCACAGCGACAAAGTCCGATAGAGGTCTTTATCCCACAACAGGGGAATCTGACGGAAAAGAGGCGGAGCCATTGCTTTCGGATAAAGTAGAGAAGAGTGTAGAGGAGGTGAAGCAGCTAGTGCGGAGTAGAAGCGCGAAGCAGTTCACGTGGGTGCTGTTGTTGAAAGCGCACAAGGCGGCGGGGTGTGTCGCGTGGTTGGGGTACGCCATCGCGTCGCTATTCAGAAATCTTGGAGCGAGATTATCGGAGGACGATCAAGAGGATGACGAGGAGGAAGAGGACGACTACGAGGGGTTAAACGCGCGGCCGTCGCAACGACTGCTATGGACATTAAGGGTGCTGTCCGTGCTGTCGTTAGCGCTGCTGGCGTTCGAGGTTCTGAGCCACTCGAGCGAGCTGGAATGGGAGTTTCAGCTGCACAACCCCACCAAACACGTCATGCCGCTTATCGCCTCCATCACCGCCCGCTTCCATGCCATCACGCAAGACTGGGTTAACATCAGGTACTCGTCGCCGTGTCCACTGCTTCAGGTACCACTTGACCTAATTTCGTCGTACAGGGTGTTAGTGTACGTCTGACGACGTACATAAAGTGCTTTGGTGATTTCCCTTACAAGGGCCTTATCGTGTTTTACCACGTCGTTCGGGAGAACCTTCATTTATCGGAGTTCTCAACTCCGTCCGTGCCTTACATTTTGATCTCCGCAGGACGAAGTACATCGCGCCGCCGTTGCAGTGGTTCGCGAACGCGTGCATCTACCTGTTCCTCGTGCAAACCGTGGACCGGCTCGTGCTGTGTCTTGGGTGCATCTGGATCAACGTCATGGGCATCAAGCCGCGCTGTGAACCGCTCGCGCCGTACGACCCGGAGGAGGCGGGGCAGTCGTACCCCATGGTGCTCGTGCAAATCCCCATGTGCAACGAGCGCGAGGTAAGCGCCTCAAATCGCTCACTTTTAAGCACGCCAGACTAGCAAGTTTCGTATATCTCAAATGCGTCCCGCCATCACTCAACAGACTCGTGTCTATGGCTCCTCCCGCCGCGTCCGTGCTGCGCGTGCAGGTGTACGACCAGTCGATCGGCGCGGCGTGCAAGCTGGAGTGGCCGAGAGAGCGCATGCTGATTCAGGTGCTGGACGACTCGAGCGACGACGAGATTCAGAAGCTCATCGAAGCGGAGTGCCTCATGTGGCAGCAGCGCGGCTACCCCATCATCTACCGTCACCGCGTCATCCGCACCGGCTATAAGGTCAGGGTTATGATTTGGCCGTTCTTTACCTTTACGCACAGCTCCGAAACCTCCCGAAACAATCCAGTTCTATCGTTTGGATCGGCAAGTATGGAGTTTTCTAATGCTCTCCCGCTCCTCGTTCGGATCGGCCGTGGGCCTGATGCCGATCGCTTTGCTATCCTCGCTGTCCCCCACTGCGTTGCTGTCTGTGCAGGCGGGGAATCTGCAGAGCGGCATGAACTGCGAGTACGTGAAGAAGTACGAGTTCGTCGCCATCTTCGACGCCGACTTCCAGCCCAAGCCGGACTTTCTCAAGCTTACCGTGCCGCATTTTAAGGTAACGCCTGCATGTTTTGTTTTTTTTGTTTTTTTTTTTTTTTTTTTTTTTAATAAATCTTTGATCGTTGCGGATTTTGGAAACCCAGACTGGTTGCTGGAGCTGCCTGATCCGCGATGGACGGCTCTTTCTTGTCCTGTCCGGTTAGCAGCTTTCGTTGGTCAAAAGACGCTTCCGCCCATCGGATTGCTTGCTCCGCCCCCCTTTTCCCCCTCCCCCTTTCACCTCTCCGCTTCCCCCCGCCCTCCGCCCTCCGATCCTTGCCCCCTCGTTCCGCCTCCCGTCAGAATAATCCCGACGTGGCGCTGGTGCAGGCGCGGTGGAACTTTGTGAACAAGGACGAGAACCTGCTGACGAAGCTGCAGACGATCAACCTGCGCTTCCACTTCGAGGTGGAGCAGCAGGTCAACGGCGCGTTCATCAACTTCTTCGGCTTTAACGGCACGGCGGGCGTGTGGCGCATCACGGCGCTCGAGGAGTCGGGCGGCTGGATGGACCGCACGACCGTCGAGGACATGGATATTGCCGTGCGCGCGCACCTGAAAGGGTGGAGATTTCTGTTTTTGAATGACGTGGAGGCGATGTGCGAGCTGCCCGAGTCGTACGAGGCGTTTCGCAAGCAGCAGCACCGGTGGCACTCGGGCCCGATGCAGCTGTTTCGGTTGTGCCTGCCCGATATAATCGCGGCGAAGATCGCGCTGTGGAAGAAGCTCAACATGATTTTCTTGTTCTTTTTGCTGCGGAAGATGATTCTGCCCTTCTATTCGTTCATGCTCTTCTGCATCATCCTGCCGCTCACCATGTTCGTACCCGAGGCGCAGCTACCGCTGTGGGTCGTGTGTTACATCCCGGGCATCATGTCTCTCCTCAACGTCCTCCCCTCGCCAAAGTAAGCTTCCCTGAAATATAGGCGTGTAATCGGTATCTGTTTTTCCTTCGTTTTTTCCGTCTGGATGCCCCAATGCATGAATCCCTCCTGTCTCCTACCTCCCCTTTGTTGGCTCTGCACTCCATGTCTCCCGACCGTTGTTTTCTCCGCGTGACACTTCCTTTCCCGCCCATCGTACTGCAATCATCCGTCTTCGCAAGCTTCACCCCATTCGTTACCATAACCACCTCGTGGCGTCACCCCCTGGGTTGCTCGCAGGTACTTCCCGTTCATGATACCGTACCTGCTGTTCGAGAACACGATGAGCGTCACCAAGTTCCAGGCCATGATCGCGGGGCTCTTCCAGCTCAAGAGCGCGCACGAGTGGGTCGTCACCAAGAAGACCGGCCGAACCACCGACGCCGACCAACCGCTCGCAACCACCGCCTCCGAACCACTGGTCAGTGAACCGTGGTTTGGGGTTTAGGCGTGGCGTGAGTTTATCGAAGGGTGTGAGTGAAGGGAGAGGTCTGGGGGTGGCCAGGCTGGGTCTTCTGGTGGCGCTCTTTTGCTCCCTCGCGTCGCAAAATCATAGCAAATTTCTCACCTGCCCGCTTAGGAACTCATGCAAACATTTTCTTTCCTCTGCGACTGACCGTTTATTACGCAGGGCACTCTGAAACCGAGCAAGTCTGTTGCGAATATCTCTCGGCCGTCTACACCACCAGCTGCTTTCACCCGCACCGCAAGCGAGGGCATGCTCAACGTTCGGATAGAGGATCAGCTTAAAGTGAAGATAGATCAACCTTTGCTGACGACACCACCCAAGAGTACAGAGGCCATCACGCAATCAAAACCGACTGGAAGAAAGTGAGTGCTCTACAAGAAAACATGCTAAATTCCCAACCCTGCTATGTTGGATGATAAGGCAATGATAATAAATTGGTTTGGCTTTCATCTCCTTCCTTGCTTCATCCCCTCCTTTTTGTTTCCCTCTCCATTTCTCAGACTGTACAAGAATGAGTTAGCGCTGGCGCTGCTGCTGCTAGTGGCGGCGGCGAGGAGCCTGCTGACGGTGGCAGGGATGCACTTCTACTTCCTGCTCTTCCAGGGCTTCACCTTCCTCATTGTCGCCCTCGACCTCATCAGCGACCGCCAATAGCTGCTCCCTCCTCCCGCTGCCTGTCTACTCGCAATCAACCATACCATCCATTGACCCGACCCATGGCTCATTTGTGGCCTCATCACCCACTGGCCGATTCTTGCAATGTCACACCAGCAGCAATCGCTGGTCTCACCTCACCAACCGTCGCTCTTCACTGGCAGTTGGCATTGACTGTAACTCCACTCACCGATGGATGCGTGCTGCTGCTGCTGCTGACTGCTGTGGTTCGTGCCGTGCTGAGGCATCTTCCTGAGATGTGAGGCTTTCTTGGTGCATATCTCATATCCCCTGAGGTGGCACAAGAGAGCTGTCAAAAGCTTAGGGGGAAGAGGAAGGGAAGGGAGAAGGGAAAGGAATTTTACAGCTGGTGAATGTAACAGAAGGGAGGAGTTGGATTGGTTGGCTCCTAGCAGCAACTGGAAGCATTTCGTCGGTTGGGCCCTCTTGGGTGGACCTTCCCGGCCTAAGTGTGTTGCGCTTACCATTGAAGTTAGATGTTGTAGCGGGCTTTTGTATTCTGCCTCCCTTAGGTGTATCGGTAGGGAAATTTTAGATAACATAGTGCATGTGGGTGCATTGTCTTGAGTAATATAATAATGCACACACTTGGTAATAATTTGTTTACATTCGTTAACAAACATTATGCTGGCTTCTTATATCTATTCAGGCTTGTACCTTTTCTTTCACAACACTGCGACGCTTGTAATAGCGCGGATGAGAAGCCCCTACCCTCGGCTTCAGAAGCCGTGTTGCGGTGTGCTGTGTTCTCCTGAGCCTCTCGACCAGGGCTATTGCTAGGATTTTTGCTAGCTCGGACGATCCGGGCCCCTGTGAAAAAGACCCTGTAAAATCCGAGCCAGCGGAAAAAAAACCTTGACGAATCCGGGTTCGAGCCAGAAAAGGCCTGAAAACATGCATTGCCAGAATTTCGCGGGAAACTCACAGTGGGTTGCACGAGGGCTGGGGAGATTGGAGATGGAGTGGCTCTGGAGGGGTGAGCGAGATACTTATTTTAGACTTCGAAAAAAATACGATGAGGAAGAGTACATAGGGAGAACAGGGCAATCAGACACTCTCTCCTTATTGGCCTTCTAAGCCATGTCGACGTAGAACAGGGCAATCAGACACTTGGAGGCCAACAAGGAGAGAGTGGTTAGGAAATTCACTAAAAGTGGCCCACGTGTGTTTAGAGGGAGACGGAGAGGAATGCAAGGCAGGTCGGGGAGAACATGTCTGCTAAAATTATACGGGTCCCCTTGAGAACTCCCCGGAGAGATCCGAGCTGACTCAATAATCACCCTTCAGTTTTACGGGCTGGTCCAAAAAACACCTTGTGAAAATCAGGGCTCCTTGAAAAAACACCCTATAATTTCAGTCAAAACAGGGTAATTGCCCTGATAACTTAGGTCCTGCTCTCGACCTTCGCACCAAGTAATCGCAAGCACGCCGATCACAATCCGCGCCGCTCGTTCTAGCGCTTAGGGTGAGCGAAAGCAAAGCACGCATTGCGCAGCTGTTGATCACACCGAGCGAAGTTCTTCTTACCGACCGCGCTGCGGCTTGCGCGACTGCTCCCCGCACGACTGCTCCCCGCGCGACTGCTCCCCGCGCGACTGCTTCCTACGCGACTGCTTCCTGTGCGACTGCTTCCTACGCGACTGCTTCCTGTGCGACTGCTTCCTGCGGGAAATTCTGCCTCTCTCGCACGTGCGAACTGCAGGACTGCTTCTTGGTCCACTTTCGTCGCGCGCCGCTTCTCTCACGCCGCGCTGTGCAGTCGGGCGCTAGCGGCGTCATACGAAGCGCCGAGATCGTTAGGAGCAACCGCGGCACAGGCGGAGGAGCGCGCGTGGCAGAGCAGCGGCGGTGGGGGCGCGCACGACGTTGCGGGAAAACGTCTGAGGGGGCGCGGCGATGCAGAGCCTGGGGCGCGAGCTGGGCAGCCCGCCGACGGACGGCATCTCGAACGTGCGCTTCTCCAACCACTCGGACCACCTGCTCGTCGCCTCCTGGGACTCCGTGAGTGGCGCCTGGTCTGACTGGTGCTGTGAGTGCCGTGCGCTGCCGTGAGTGCTGCTTGTGTGTGACTGACGCATGGATGCCGTGGGATGCCGTGGTATGCCGTGAAATGCTGTGGGATGCTGTGGGATACCGTGGGATGCTGTGGGATGCCGTGGGATGCTGTGGGATACCGTGGGATGCTGTGGGGTGCCGTGGGATACCATGGGATACCATGGGATGCCGTGGGATGCCGTGGGATGCCGTGGGATGCCGTGGGATGCCGTGGGATGCCGTGGGATGCCGTGGGATGCCGTGGGATGCCGTGAGCGGCTCCGTGCCTCCGCTCTTGTGGTGCACCGTGTGATGCAGTGTGTGGTTTCTGCTCGTCGCCTCCTGGGACTCCGTGACTACCGCTTGCCATGCCCTGCCCTGCCGTGAGTCGCATAGGATGGCGCGAGTGGCGCATGATGCCTTGAACGTCGCTGTACCTCTGTTGTTTCTGCGCAGTCACGAGTATCCACGCGTCCACGCGTCCATGCCCCCATGCGTCTTTGTGCCCTCACTGGGTTCACGTCCCGACCATCCCCCCACACGCCACGCATCCCCATGCCCCTCTCTCCTCTGCTGCTGCGCCGGCTGCATGTCCTCTCCTTTCGAACCTCACAACGCGCCTGCCCCCCTCTCCACTTGCGCCTGCATTCATGCTCCCCCCAGCTTCCTCCTTCCCCCGGCGCAGCCCGGTGCCGTGCCTCTGTTGTTGCCCCTCTCCACCTGCGCCTGCATTCAACACCCCCCCTCTCCCCACCCCCTCTCCCCCCCCTTCCTTCCCCACTCCCCTGAGGTGCGGCACTCAGAACCTGCGGCTTTACAATGCGGGCGCCAACACGCCCTTCACCAATGTGCCTGTCCTTTCACCACTTGCGTCTGCATTCAACCCTCCCCCCTTCCCCACCCACCCGCTCCCCCCTTCTTTCCTCTCCCCGTGCAACAGAACCTACGACTGTACGATGCGGGAGCCAACACACTAAGGGGCACGTTCCCCCGCCGCGGCCCGGTGCTGGACTGCTGCTTCCATGACGACAGCTCTGGCTTCGCTGGCAGCGTTGACCAGTCCGTGGTCAGGTGAGGCACGGAGCAGGATTCGACCAGTAATGCTCAAGAGGCACGTTCCCCACCGTGGCCCGCCATGGGCCGCCGTGGCTTGTTATGGGCCACCGTGGGCCACCGTGGGCCGGTGTTGGACTGCTGCTTCCACGATGACAGCTCTGGCTTCGCTGGCAGCGTTGACCAGTCCGTGGTCAGGTGAGTTAAGGAGGGCGGTGTGTAGCAACAATTCTCTGTGTTCCTACATTTGTGTGTGCGGTGTGTGTGTAGCAACTATTCTCTGTGTTCCTACATTTGTGTGTGCGGTGTGTGTGTAGCAACAATTCTCTGTTGTGTAGCAACAATTCTCTGTTGTGTAGCAACAATTCTCTGTGTTCCTACATTTGTGTGTGTGGTGTGTGCCGTGTGTGTGCGGTGGCTGGTGGCTGGGTGGCAGGTACGACTTCAATGTGGGGAGGGAGGACGTGCTGGGGCACCACCAGGGGGCGGTCAAGTGTGTCGAGTACTCGCATGCCACGGGTGAGAGAGAGAGAGTGGGGAACACACTCACAGTATCCTCTCCCTCGCTTGCCTCTCGGCTGCACTGCATCCGTCCCTCCTCCCTCTTCCGCTCTCATCTTCCATCGTACCTCCACACCCACCACACCCACCACGCCCACCACACCTCCATGCCCCCACGCCCCTGTGCGCCCCACGCCCCCCATGCACCAACTCCCCTGTGTCCCACGCTCCCGACAAACCCCACACCCCTGTCTGTGCAGGCCTGCTGATTATGGGGAGACCACTAGCACGGTGCGCTGCTGGGACCTGCACCTCGCACCTGCGGCTCACAGTGTCAGCAGAGCAGACCATGTCCCTCCATGCTACTCCAGTGACAGCGCTGCTACTCCATGTCCCTCGCTGCCCATTCCCAAGTGCCCCTCCACGCATTCCCCCGTGCCCTTTCCCATACGAATCCCTTCGCGGCCTCCACTTCCCCACTTCCCGCACACCCTCCGTGCCCCTACGTCCGTACAGGCCAGCTGATCACAGGGGGGTCGGACCGGACGGTGCACTGCTGGGACCCGCGTGCCCCCGCGTCCCACCTGCGCCTCACAGTGACAGCAGAGCAGCCCGAGCGTTGCTACTCCATGTCGCTCGCCGCACACCGCCTCGTGGTCGCCATGGCGGGGCGCCACACCCCTAACCTGCCTCCGATGCCCCCCATGCCCCCATACCTTTGTGCCCCTCACACCCCTCCCCCTGCAGGCCAGCTAATCACAGGGGGGTGGGACCGCACAGTGAGGTGCTGGGACCCGCGCGCTCCCGCCTCTCACCTGCGCCTGACAGTCACGGCCGAACAGCCCGAGCGTTGCTACTCCATGTCGCACGCTGCGCATCGCCTCGTGGTGGCCATGGGGGGGCTCCTCACCCCGCCCCTACCCTACCCCCTGCGCGCCCTCAATGGCAATGTCCCCACACCCCTGTGTCCCCAACACCCCCATCTCCCTGCAGGCCAACTGATCACAGGCGGGTGGGATCGAACTGTGAGGTGCTGGGACCCCCGTGCCCCCTCCTCCCACCTGCGCCTGACAGTGACAGCGGAGCAGCCCGAGCGCTGCTACTCCATGTCGCTCGCCGCACACCGCCTCGTGGTCGCCATGGCGGGGCGCCACGTGTCGATCTACGATTTGCGCAACATGGCGCAGCTGGAGCAGCGGCGGGAATCTTCTCTGAAGTTTCAGACGCGGTGTGTGCGGTGCTACCCCACGGGCACGGGGTATGCTCTGGCGTCCGTGGAGGGACGCGTTGCCATGGAATTCTTCGACCCATCTGAGGCCGCCCAGGCCAAAAAGTGAGTCTGTCTTTGAGTCGCCGCAAAAGTCAACAAGTGGGTGCATGTGTGTGTGCGTACTCGTGGTGTGTGCGGTGCTACCCCATGGGCATGGGGTATGCACTGGCGTCCGTGAGGGACGCGTGGCTATGGAGTTCTTTGACCTCTCGGAAGCTTCGCAGGCCAAAAAGTGAGTGCAATGGGGCACCAGTGGTCTAGTCGTGCAAGGAAGCGAGTGGGCCAGTGACCTAGTATGGCTTTGTGTCACCTAAAAAAGCAACCACTAACCCCACGGGCACGGGGTATGCTCTGGCATCCGTGGAGGGGCGAGTCGCCATGGAATTCTTTGATCCCTCTGAGACTGCCCAGGCCAAGAAGTGAGTTCAATAGTGCACTAAGAGTGATTCTGCCTCGTGGGAGGGTGTGTGCGGTGCTACCCCACGGGCACGGGGTATGCTCTAGCGTCCGTGGAGGGACGCGTGGCCATGGAATTCTTCGATCCGTCTGAGACTGCCCAGGCCAAAAAGTGAGTCTGTCTTTGAGTCGCCGCAAAAGTCAACAAGTGGGTGTGTGTGTGCGTACTCGTGGTGTGTGTGGTGCTACCCCACGGGCACGTCTGTGGAGGGGCGCGTCGCCATGGAGTTCTTTGATCCATCTGAGGCCGCCCAGGCTAAGAAGTGAGTTCAATAGGGCAGCAGTGACGCGTGGTCTGCTGTGCAAGGAGTGGTGTGTGCGGTGCTACCCCACGGGCACGGGGTATGCACTGGTGTCCGTGTAGGGACGTGTTGCCATGGAGTTCTTTGACCCTTCGGAAGCTGCGCAGGCCAAGAAGTGAGTCCTAGGGCACCGAGAAGTGAGTGGTTGTGCGGTGCAACTCTAGTTCTGAGTCGTGCCAGTGGGCCTGTGTGTACGAGTGTTGTTAGGAGCGCTGGTACTGTCCAGGCCACGCGTGAGTTTCACTGGGGCACCAATGGTGAGCTCAATAGGGCACCAAGAAGTGGGTGGACCTGGCGTGGTAGCCTTGGAGGGGTGAAGCGGAACATGCAGGTTCAGCGTCACACGCAGGTGTGCATCAGTGAGGAGGGGAAGGGGTTGGTTGGCAGGGGTGGGCGGTGTCAGGCTGCGGTGGGTGTGCTGTGTGTGGAGGAGAGAGCAGGTGCAGTGTAGCAGCAGCAGGAGTTGGAGTGTCCTGGAGTGCACATCTGCCCGCTCGTCTCTCATCTGCCCGCTCCTCTCTCATCTGCCCGCTTGTCTCTCATCTGCCCGCTTGTCTCTCATCTGCCCGCTTGTCTCTCATCTGCCCGCTCGTCTCTCATCTGCCCGCTTGTCTCTCATCTGCCCGCTCGTCTCTCATCTGCCCGCTTGTCTCTCATCTGCCCGCTTGTCTCTCATCTGCCCGCTCGTCTCTCATCTGCCCGCTCGTCCCTCAGAGGCACGCTCATCCACGTGCCTGCATATTCATTTCTTGGGCGGCTTGGCTTGATATCATGCTGGGTTGTTGAATGCATGCTTGGATGGATGTGCATGTGCATGTGCATGTGCGTGTGCATGTGCATGTGCATGTGCATGTGTGTGTGCATGTGCATGTGCAAGTGCATACGTGTGTGTGCGCATGTGTATGTGATGTGCATGTGCATGTGCATGTGCATGTGCATGAGCAGGTATGCGTTCAAGTGTCATCGGCGGTCAGAGGGAGGGAGGGACACAGTCTTCCCAGTCAACACCATCGCCTTCCATCCAATGTGCTGCGCCTCCCCTCCCCTCCCCTCTCCTCCCCTCCCTCCCCCTCCTCCCCTCCCTCCCCTCTCCTCTCCTCCCTACCCTCCCCTTTCCTCTCCTCCCCTCCCCTCTCCTCCCGTCCTGTCCCCTCCTGCCTCCCATCCCCTCCCGTCCCCTCCCGTCCTCTCCCCTCCCGTCCCGACCCATCTCCACCCCTCCCCACCCCTCCCCTTCTCTGCCCTTTCCTCTTCTTGCTTCGCCTCACCTTGCCTCTCGCTTGAACTATCCCACTGTTTCCTCTATTCTCCTCTCCCTGCATAGCATCCACACCACCCCACACCACGCCACACCACCCCACACCACCCCACCCCACGCCACCCCACGCCGTGTCTCCCTCCCTCTGCCGGCACCACGGCAGCTACGGAACGTTTGCCACGGGGGGGTGTGACGGGGTGGTCAACATCTGGGACGGCAACAACAAGAAGCGCCTCTACCAGGTGCGCGAACCCCCGCGCCTCTTCCCCGCGCCTTTCCCCCGCGCCTCTTCCCCGCGCCTTTCCCCCGCGCCTCTCCCCTGCACCCCTCCCCTGCGTCCCTCCCTTGCACCCTCTCCCGCGCCCCTTTCCTTCGCCCCTTCCTCTCTTCAACCCCCCTGGCCTCTGCACACGCACTCTGCGGCTGGCAGTCACATGCTACGTTGCATGCAGCCCACTCCACAGGCGTGCACCTCACACTGCCCTGCCTGCACGGATGGTTCTCATCTTAATACAAACTGCCTCCTCACTCTCTGGCTTCTCTCCCCTTCGCATGCCCCTTCCCCCCACCTTGCACGTGTCCCTCCTCCATCTGCCCGCATTATCTACCCTCGCAACATGGCTTCTCTCGTCGTGCTCTCATGCCGATGCATGGTTCCCCCACACCCCTGCACCCATGCACCCATGCACCCATGCACCCATGCACCCATGCACCCATGCACCCATTCACCCACGCACCCCCCCATCCCCCCACCTATTCACCCTTTTGAGTCGACTCAAAAGTCAACTCATTATCTGCCCACCCCCTCACGCGCCCCCAACAGTATGCCAAGTACCCCACGAGCATCGCGGCGCTCTCCTTCTCGCGGGACGGTCGCCTGCTGGCCGTGGCAGCCAGCTACACCTTCGAAATGGGCGACATCCCGTGAGTGCCTCCCCCCTCTGTGAGTGCCTCCCCCCTCTGTGAGTGCCTCCCCCCTCTGTGAGTGCCTCCCCCCTCTGTGAGTGCCTCCCCCCTCTGTGAGTGCCTCCCCCCTCTGTGAGTGCCTCCCCCCTCTGTGAGTGCCTCCCCCCTCTGTGAGTGCCTCCCCCCTCTGTGAGTGCCTCCCCCCTCTGTGAGTGCCTCCCCCCTCTGTGAGTGCCTCCCCCCTCTGTGAGTGCCTCCCCCCTCCGTGAGTGCCTCGCTCCCCTCTCATGAGCCCCCCCCCCCGCCCTCCCAAGTGCTCTGCTGCCGGCCGTGGCAGCCAGCTACACCTTGGAGATGGGCGACATCCCATGAGTGCTGCGCTCCCCTCACTGGCCCCCGGTCCTATCACTGCCCACCTGCCCTCACTGCCCCCTGCTCTCCCTGCCATGCTGCTGTGACTCTCACTGCATGGCAGTCTGTTGTGTGGAGGGACCACTTTCCATGCCGTGCGCTGCGCTGCACACATGTCATCTTCCACGAGCTTTTTCTGCTCATTTCCCCTGGCCATTCCTTCCCTGCCCTGTGCTGTCCCATCCCATGTTTATTCGTGTTCACCTGTCTGTAATGCCCTGTGCTGTCTCGGGCTGCTATGCTGCTCACTTGGCAGGCATGAGAAGGACGCCATCCACATTCGCAATGTGAACGACGCAGAGGTCAAGCCCAAGCCCAAGGCATACAGCACTGCCACGTAGGCATGCACCACTGCCACGTAGGCATGCAGCACTGCCACGTAGGCATGCAGCACTGCCACGTAGGCATGCAGCTCTGCCACGTAGGCAGGCAGCACTGCCACGTAGGCAGGCAGCACTGCCACGTAGGCAGTCAGCACTGCCACGTAGGCAGGCAGCACTGCCACGTAGGCACAGGCAGCGCGTCATGCACCTCTGCCGAGTCCCAGCCCAACTGCTCGCCCGTCCCTTGGCATGAGAGCAGGGTGTTTGGCAGCACTTCGTGGCACACCTTCCTAGGATTCGTCCATATGGGGCGCCGCATTCCAGAGCGGCGACTTGTAGCTCGTGTTGTGTGCAGGGCGGGCGCACACAGCCAGGGAATTCTGCTGACTCCACTCAAAAGCACAACGCTTTCTAGCATTTCATTTCATTGTGTGCTGTATTTTTCTAAGGTTCGTCTTATTGGTTTACCTTTCTCACATGTTTAGAGTTCCTAATGAGATCGTCCTTTTCAACAGAATGATCAGACAATTCGGGTAATAAAGGGATGGTGCAGTTATGGCTGCCGGTGACATTCATCCACCTACATCAGTTGCTATTTCAATCGCCCGGATCAAATTCAAATGCTACCGTAAGATGCTCTACTCTCTCTGGCATCCCCCACAAAACAGAAGGGAGGCTTAGCCTGATGGAGGTATTATTTAGAAACCTGGGCATACCGTACCGTATCCCAATTTCAGCTGTATTTTCCTTCTCAACTCAACTGCCTAGCTATGGTATTCTACAGTAATCCCCCGTATATAGGACCCCCCCCAGTTGTAGACCCCCGGGTCTATAATACGGACCCGGGTACTCTATTCGAGTACATCTGAGTTATACCCCCCTAAATGGCTCCTAACATTATAAGACCCCCCCAACATCCTAGAGAAGTGCGGATTTTACGAAAATGCAAGTGAAAATGGTCATATTCCATATTGATTTAGAGAAATCAAACCCGTGAACGCGCATGCACACCCATGTGCAGCCCACACGAAGCGTGCATGGGGTGTGAAGGCCGAGGCGACACTGCGCGCTGGGCCATCAAATCAAACGGTGCCCTGCGCTGTCGTGTGAACACCAAGTGGTGTTGGTGGCCAATGGGAGGAGGCTCTTAGATAGGGTTCGTGATGACGTGGGTTCGGCCCGTGTGGAGACCAATTCGAGTATTTTTGGGAGGAGCTAAAAACGGAGCAATTACAAATCACTTCTTTGAGCTCCAAATCTACATTCTTATAAATGTCAAAATGAAAAGACCCGGGTCTTATAAAAAATTCACCATTTAATTATACCCCGCAGCCTTTTTAGGGGTGATTATCATAAGACCCTAGGGTACGGGGGATTACGGGTAGTTTTTGCGTTCACACTGGTGCGGCCTTTCTTTGGACCCGCGCCGCATTAGAGAGCACGTTCAGAAAATCCTCAATACGCTGTATTTCCTGCCAAGTCAATTTGAAATGTCGCACAGCGAACAAGTTTCGCGTGCCCGTTACGAGTTTGGTTTTGCACCGACTACCTCCCAAGCCTTGGCTTGCGACAATGTTACAGATCTGAAGCTGGCATCTCGCAAAAACATCTCTCGTGGAATTTCGCAAACCAGCGGGGTGGAGTGGTGGACGCACAAACGCCACGGGCAAGCGAAATCCAAAACTGACCCACCTTCCTCCCCCCAGCATTTCTGACCATCTGGGGGACAAGGCCCCCAGCAAAATGTGCGGCTCCGCATGTGAGCTGGTGGGGTGGGTACAAAACCAACGCTCCCTCCTGTGAGAACTGAGAGGAATGATTGACTAGCAAGGTTGGGAGTACAAAGTACCAAACCTAAGAATATTGTACCCCCTAAGTGTACATTCGGGGCTCTGGTCTGAACCTCTGGGCAAACCTCTGGTCAACCGAAATCATGCCTATTTCTTACCAATTGTGCTAATTGTAAGGCTTTCTACAGTGTTGACCAGAGGTTTGCCCAGTGCCCAGAATGTACCCTAAGGCTAAACCCACTGTAGCCTACAGAACAGCAACACATATAATGTTTAACACACCCCCATAGGCAAAGTGGGGGAGTACAAGGGGTCACAAGACCAGTCAAGTAAAGCGAAGCAAAGCAAGCTCAGGGTGGATCACGAAGTCACCACACATTCCGAGCACAGGTTCAAGGCCACAAGGCCAGTTCACATGCAGGATTATATATAAAGGGAAACAAGCAAGAGCAGAGGTATATATAGGACACAGTACAAAGCAAGGTCAAGAGGTAAGCAGGTGAGGCCAGGTAGGCACAAGACCTAACATCGTACAAAAGCGCTGATGATCACAAGGCTGAAGAGCCTTGGTGAAGATATCAGCAGTGTTGGCCTGAGAGGCCACGTAAGCAAGGCGCAGCTGACCACGCTGCTGCAGCTCACGAGCAAGGAAGTAGCGAAGAGCAATGTGCTTCGTTCTGTGCTCCAGTCTGTGCTCCCGACACAAGGCTAGCATGGCCTTGTTGTCTACGTACAGAACTGGAGGAGAACGAGGCGGCTCTCCCAGGTCAGTCAGCAGGTAGGTGAGCCAGCGTAACTCCTGTGCAGCCATGGCCCCTGCGTAGATCTCAGCCTCACAGCTGGAGCTGAGAACAGAGGACGAGCGGGTAGACTGCCACGAAACAGAGCCGGAACCAAGGCTGAAGGTGTAACCCTGTGACGACCGCTGCGTAGCCAGGTCGTCGACCCAAGACGCGTCTGCGTGACCAGTGAGGACCACTCGACTCCGCCCTCCAAGCACGAGCCCCATGCCCGATGTACTGCACAAGTAGCGCAACACCCTCTTCGCTGCAGCCATGTGCTCTGGTCGGTGTCTCCCAGGAGCAACATAGCGTGCCAAAATGCTAAGAGGGTAGGCCAGGTCAGGTCGAGTGCAGGTCATCAGGTACATGAGGCAGCCAACAAGCTCTGGGTACGGGCCACTCGGCTCTACGGACTCATCCGAAGGCAGAGCTGAGAGCGAGTGGCGAGTAGACAGAGGAGTGGCCTGAGGCGAGGAGTACGTGAAGTCGAAGCGCTGAAGGACCTGCTGCACCATGTGTGACTGAGTCAGAGTAATGGTGCGCCGTGCTCTGTCCCGAGTGATCTGCAAGCCAAGATAGCTTGTCAGTTTACCCAGGTCTGTGCACGTGTGTCTCTTCTGCAGCTCGGACTTCACGTGGGCGAGTCCAGCAGTGTCAGCTGTAGCAAAGACCAAGTCGTCGACGTACACGAAGATGTAGAACGGCGGCAGCGAAGTGTCGGTGCGAAGAAACAGCGACGGGTCTGCAGTAGAAGGAGCAAACCCAAGAGCCGCAAGCGTAGTCCTCAGTGTGTCGTGCCACTCGCGGGGCGCCTGGCGGAGACCGTAGACTGGCCGCCGGAGGCTCCAGTGGGTACCAGGAGGAAACGACCCAGTGAAGCCAGGTGGGCGGCGCAGCAAGATCTCCTCGTGCAGGCTGCCCTGTAGAAAAGCTGTGCTGAAGTCAAGAGAGTGAAGCTCGTAGTCGCGGTGAGCGGCTATGTGCAACAGCACCCGAAGAGTGGTCATCTTCGGGGTGGGAGAGAAGGTCTGAAAGTAGTCAACTCCCTGCCGCTGACTGAAGCCTCGAGCCACGTAACGCGCCTTGAAGACAGGCGGAGAACCCGGCGGCCGCTTCACCCTGAAAATCCACATGCCACTGACGATGTTCGCCCCAGGTGGGGGAACCTCGTCTACGTAGGTGCCTGTGGACCTTTCAGAAAGCCATCTCTGCGTCCATGGCTGCCTGCCACTGAGAGGAGTAGGGACCCTCTATCGCCTCCGCGTAAGAGCGCGGAGTCGCAATGTCTGGTGCATCCGGGTCTCCCTCAGGGACAAGCAGCGAGGACACAAGATGAGGTAAAGCAGCAGCAAGACACTGGAACTCCTCCTGCCTGTCCTCAAGGACGTCCGTGCTAAGAGCACACTCACCCCCGACGGACGGAGGACAGACTGACTCAGACTCAGCAACAAGACTAGCAACGTAGTCTAGACGACAGGCAGCAGCAAAGTCAACAAGCTCAGCAACCAAGGCAGACGCAGCAGTAGACTCAAACGACGGGTCAGTGACAACAGTGGCTAACAGACGTGTGACAGTAGGGTGCTCAGCACGAAACCTGTCAGACTCAGGGTCCGGAACGGCAGGCAGAGAGGACGCAGGGGGGGACGGCAGAGGAGCAGACTACGAAGCAGAGAAATGACGACGGACTACGAGGTGTGCGCTGGGGACAGCCGGCTGACGCGCACGAGAAACACGACGACCGGTACGACCAGAACGAACAGGCGAGACAGGACGCGACGCAGGCTCACGACGCTCAGCAAGACTACCTGTCTGCTCAGTGTAAGGAGAGGGAGCAGGCAGTGGTGATTCAGGCTGTAACGGAAGACCAGTAGACGATGGGAGAGTAAGAACCTGACGAAGAACAGAGTCAGGCTGCGGCAGAGACGACGGAGACGGCGGAGCGAAGAACAGTCGTGTCGGCGCAGCTGCACCAGCACCGGCAGCTCCAGCAGCTCCAGTACCTCCAGCAGCTCCCGTACCTCCAGCAGCTCCAGTGCCTCCAGCAGCTCCAGTGCCTCCAGCAGCTCCAACACCTCCAGCAGCTCCAGAAGCTCCAGCCTCAGAACCGGTACCTCCAGCGCCAGCACCTCCAGAACCAGCGTCACCAAAAGGAGCACCCCCAGAACCGGCACCTCCAGCCCCAGGGTCTCCAACCGCAGTGTCTCCCGCAGCAGCACCCCCAGAACCAGCACCTCCAGTCCCAGGGTCTCCAGCCTCAGTGTCTCCAGCAGCGGCACCTCCTGACGCAGCAACCCCAGCCCCAGCAGCTCCAGTACCTCCAGCAGCAGAGCCCCGGGCTCCAGCAGCGCGACCCTGACGGCGACCGTACCAGTCGTGCAGCTGCTGTGAGGTGAGAGGCACACGCGGACGAAGGCGGCCACTCCAAGTAGGCCGCGCACCAGCAGTCCCAGTACCCTCAGACGACTCACCTCCAGACTCAGCACCCCCAGACTCCGCACACACAGGCTCAGAACTCCCAGACACAGCACCCCCAGGCGCACCAACCCCAACAGCACCAGAGTCAACAGTAACCGGCTGCAGAGGCGGCGAAGAAGGTCGCGGAGGGAAAACCGGAGGGGTCTCCAAGCGTGGTGTGCGGCGGTAGGCCGCCGGGGCGTCAGCAGCAACGTCACCCCCCTCAGGTGGGCCAGAGGTGTCGGAAGTGACCTCCAAAGGCTCAGCCAAGGGGGGGGGGTCTACCTGAGACACACCTGAAGGAGCAGGACCCTGAGGGGGGAGGGGGTCTACCGGGGGGGGACCTGGCGTAAGGAAGAGCGGCGGGGGGGGGGGGAGGGGGGCAGCGCGGTAGGGGAAGAGACGGTAGTACGGAACCGACTCGTCAAACGTGACGTCCTGGGAGGACAGAACACGGCGCGAGGTGGGGTGGTAAAACTGCCAACCAGGCGCGTCAGGGGGGAAGCCAAGGAAGACGCAGGGAACAGCACGGGAGGACAGCTTGTCCGCAGACAAGTCTCGGACAAAAGCCCGAGATCCCCAGACACGGAACGCAGACGCATCGCCAACCTTCCCCGTCCACCGCAGAGTGGAAGAGGTGTCCGGCATGGAGACCCGGGGCTGAAGGTTGATCTGATGCGCCGCGTACTGAACCGCAAACGGCCACAGAAAATGGGGAGCAGCCGCATGGATCATGGACGTACGAGCGACGTCCATGACCATGCCAATGCGGCGCTCAGCAATCCCATTTTGCTGTGGGGAGGCCGGAAGCGTGAACGTCTGGCGGATGCCCCTCGCACGACAGAAGGCTCGCAGAGGGCCGGAGGAAAACTCTCCACCTCTGTCAGAGTGCAGACGCAGAACAGGAAAGTCCGAGCCGAAACTCTTCCTGAGCTGGAGACGAGCAGCGCGGATCCAGTCGATCAACACCTCAGTGACCTCATCCTTGCGGCGCAAGGGGAAGACTGTGGTGTAACGTGAGTAGTCGTCAACCACCAACAGGAAGTAACGCTCGTGACCCTGTCCACGGACGCGGGCTGATCCCCACACGTCCATGTGAAGAGTCTGCAGCGGAGCCTCTGTCGGCGGAAACTCGGAGGAGTGAGGAGTGGCGCGCTGCCGCCCCTCGACGCAGGGAACGCAGGTAGGGGCAGGCCCCGGAGGGAGGGGAGGGAGAGACCGGGGGAGACCAGAGACAAGGACACGAGAGGCCATGCCTCGAAGACGAGGCAGGGAGGGGTGACCAAGGCGGTGGTGCCAGAGAAGAGTCTGGTGGGACAGGAGGCGACACGAGCAGGGGGCAGACTCAGGACCAGACCGAGACGCTGCAGCAAACACCTGACCCGACGCAGCTACCTGACCAGGCACAGCAACCGGAGGAGACTCGGTAGTCAGTGTGTACAGGCTCGACCCCGGCTGACGGGTAAACGTGGCCAAGTGTCGGCCCGTCCGAGCACACGTGCAATGGGCCACCCGCTGACTCGCAGGAGTGAACTGGTCAACCCCCCCATCCTGTAGGTCAGCACCACTCACCAAGTTCGTAGAGAACGAGGGGAGGTAAAGACCTGACAGGGAGCCAGACGGGGCCGCTGGACACGGTAGCACAGTGGAGTAGTGGGCAAGGACAGGACCCCCAGAGGGGTCTGCCAGGGAGACCGCAACCGGCCGACTGAGCGGCGTAAGAGTGGTGCGGTCTCGAAAGAAGGAGCGGGAAGCACCCGAGTCAAGGGTGAAAGTGTGCAACGCCTGAGCAGACGTGGTACCTGAGAGAGCAGACTCACCAGCACCTGGAGCAGCAGACTCACTAGCACCTGGAGCAGCAGACTCACTAGCACCTAGAGCAGCAGCTGCACCGCCCGGGTCGGGCGGAACACTCAGGTAACAGTCACCCTCATCACTAGTAGACATAACATACATGGCAGCAAGGATAGCATCATAGTCAAGATCAAAGATAGGAACCCCCGACCTAAGCATATGATGCCAGCGAGGGAGCTCAGTGGCGTCAGGGAACCGGAGACGCCAGGCGCCAGCTGTGGCGGCTGCGGCGCCACCCTACCGTGGCGTCCGTCCGCGCCAGCCGCGTGCTCCGCCGGCAGACCAGCGACTCGCCGCAGTTCCTGGGGCTCCCCGGCAAGGTGTGGCTGGCAGTGGGCGGGCAGAGCAAGGCGGGCGAGGGCACGGTTGTGGGGATCGTGGACACGGGTATCTGGCCCGAGCACCCGTCCTTCAGCGATAAGGGCCTCTCCTCGCAGCTGCCCGCGGGGTGGAAGGGCAAGTGCGAGCAGTCGAGCTCATTCCGGTGCAACAACAAGGTGATCGGCGCCAAGGCCTTCTATGCCGGTTTCCAGCAGAGCAGCGGCCGGCCCGTGCTGAGCCACGACTAGCTTACGCCGCGAGATGCGGATGGGCATGGCACGTGGTGCGCGGGGCCAGCCGCGGGGAACCCCGTGAAGGTGCAGGGCGGCGGGCAGGTGAGCAGCATGGCGCCGGCAGCGCGCATTGCGGCGTACAAGGTGTTTTGGACGGACGACAACGGGGACATTTACGCCACGGAGCCAGACATCATCGCAGCCGTCAATCAGGGCGTGGCGGACGGTGTGGATGTGCTGTCGCTGTCCCTGGGCGGCGTGAATCCCGAGGACAACTTTTTCAACGATCTCGCTTTCATGCGCGCCAATGCTGTGGGGGTGTTTGTTGCCTTTGCTGCGGGCAACGCGGGGCCTCCCGGGCGTGGAGGGTTCTACCGCACGCTGGACAACTTCGCCCCTTTCTACCTCACTGTTGGCGCCAGCACCATCGCCCGAGGAGGCGCCTCCCTTGCCTCGACTGCCGGCACTCAGTCGCTCGCTCTCGGTGCCACCAGCAGCGGCTGCAACGGCACGGATGGCAGCACAGGCGGCAATTGCAATGGCAACAACACAGATGCCACGGACGGCACATATGGCAGCGGAACCATTCTGACTGCGGACGGTGGGATCACCTTCACCTCCTCCTCCTCCTCCGCCCCAGTGGTGGCTGACTTCTCTTCCCGCGGCCCCCTGCTGCAGCCCTCTTCTGTGGCCCAGCCGCCCATGCCAGGCAACGCCATTCTCAAGCCTGACATCATCGGTCCTGGAGTGGACCTCGTTGCTGTTGCTCCCGGGAAGAAACCCGGCGACCCCGGTGCTCTTGCCCGCATGTCGGGTACTTCCATGGCCACCCCCCATTTAGCGGGGCTAGCCGCTTTAATCATCCAGAAGTACCCCAACTGGACCCCTGCGCAGGTGATGTCAGCGCTGATGACGACGGCACGTGTGACAGACACGAGCAAGAGCGCGATCAGGAGTGCGACGGGCGGGGAGGCCACCCCGTGGGAGATGGGTGCAGGCCACGTGTTCCCCCCCGCCATGTTCGACCCCGGCCTCACCTATGACGCCCGCGACAGCGACTACCAGAATTTCCTCACCGGGCAGGACCTCAACCGCGCGAAAAAGGAGTTTCCAGGGGTGGCGCTCTCCCCTTTTGCTGCCCGGAACCTCAACCTGCCCACCATCACTCTGCCCCGCCTGCAGGGCTTCCTGCAGGTCACCCGCACAGTCACCAACGTGGCCGGGACCCAGTCCACATACAGTGTATCTGGGAAGGCACCGCAGGGGGTGAAGGTGACGGTGGGGCCTAGGAGCCTCACGCTTGCTCCCGGACAGAAGGGGACCTACACGTTGACGTTCACGGTGGATACACCCAGTAATGAGTTCAAGTACGGGTATATAGTGTGGGATGACAACCAGGGCCACAGTGTGCGGTCCCCCCTTGTGGTGCAACCCATCTCCCGCTGAGGGGGAGGGTTGTGTGTGAAGGGGTGGGTGAGTAGGGAGCCCCCTTCTCATTCCGAGGGTCACGTCACATGATTCAACAAGGAAGTGTCACTTGTGGCAGATGGCTTGGCAAGGCATAGTGTACCGTAGTTTATGCCTCATGGAGTGGAGATTGATGTGAAAGGGCTCGGTGTGTGTGGGATGAGCAATTCTGGATGCGTGAGGCTCAAGTGTGCTTCTCAGGGTGTGGCGGGTGGCCTTGTCTGCATGTACCATAGTTTGATTATTTATTGGAGTGGAGATACACACTACGATACAGCCCTTCAAACACAAATTTGCATGTAATTGAGGCGAATGCAGAGCAGACACTGCCACCTGCAGACCAAGCACGAGGTGACCTTGCTGCACTCCCTGCTCGTGTAGCAGCAGCCAACAAGGAGCGAGTGGGCACCGACAGAGGGCGAAGAGGCAGGGAACAAGGGGAATGGAACGGGGAGAAAAAGGCGCCGGGCGTGCGATTAAATTAATCCTTTACGCGCCGACCAGTAGGCGCCTGAGACTGATGGGAAGAGAAAGGCTTGGGGAACGGAAGGGACTTGTGGGGAGAGGGCATGGAGAGAGGGAGATGGGCTTGGGAAGAAGCAAAGAAGGGGAACATTGGAGGTGAATCGGGGGGTGCGACAGCCAGCAGGAAAGGATGGGATGGAAGGAAATAGGTGGAGAAAAGTTAATCAAATGTCAAGCAGGTACGGGGCAGCAGTAGCAGCAGCACCATCACCACCACCATTACCACCTGATAACAATACCTTACCTGATATGGCTTCTGGAACGATGACAGGTGACACACAAATATCCACCCCCTTCCCACTCCTCGCATTCTCTTCACCTCTTCACCCCTCGCATTGCCTTTTTTGTGGTAACCCCCCTTGACTGCCCTGCCCCCCCTGCCCCCCCTGCCCCCCCTGCCCGCCCTGCAGACTCCTCGTGCTGTTGCGAACTGCTGCGAATTTCCTCCTGTGAAGAAAGGGTCCGTTTGATACCCGTGGGTGAATAGTCCTGTTAAAAGTGGGCTGGTCTGGGCGAGTAGGATTGCGTGGATGTGGGCAGTGGGGCGGGTCAGTGCGTCAGCGATGTTGGATGCTCCCTTTTTGTAGGTGACCGTGTAGTGAAAATTGGACTCGAGAAAATCGAGCCATCGAATCTGTCGTGGGTTGAGATGGGGCTGTGCGCGAAGGTACTGTAGTGATTTGTGATCTGTCCGTACTGTCACGTCTGCGCCGGTCAGGTAGCATCGCCACACTTTGAACGCGTGCACGATCGCAATCATTTCGCGGTCGTGTATCAGATAATTCTTCTCGGGTGGGTGCAGTTTTCGTGACTCGTATGCGATGGGCTGTAGGCCGTTGCCGAAATCTTGTAGCAGTACTGCTCCAATGGCGATGTCGCTTGCGTCGGTAACGACTTCGAATGGGCGGTGTGGGTCGGCGATGCACAGGACGGGCGGTGAACAGAGAACAGTTTTCAGGGCAGAGAAGGCAGCTTGCTCTTTCTCCCCCCACGTAAAAGCGACCCCCTTCCGCAGCAAATCCGTCAGTGGGGCTGTTAAGCGGGCCATGTCGGGGACGAACCGACGGACGTAATTAACAAACCCCAAAAAACTCTGCAGCTCCGTGATATTCGTCGGGGGGTGCCATGCCTTGACCGTATCCAGCTTCCGTGGGTCAATCTCAACCCCAGCCTCCGAAATAACGTGCCCTAAAAATTCTAACCTATCCCGGAAGAACTCGCACTTAGAACCCTTGATCAATAGTCTATGCTCCTCTAAAATCTGAAACACTGCTTTGAGGTCCGCTAAGTGCTGCTGCCTATCGCGACTGTAGACGAGGATGTCGTCGAGGTAGACTATCACGCACTTATCTAAAAGCGGCCTAAACGCCTCGTTCATGGTCATCTGAAAAGTCGCGGGTGCGTTCTTCAGCCCGAAAGGCATCACGGTGTACTCGAACGACCCGTACCTAGTCCTAAAAGCTGTCTTGGCGCAGTCCGATGGTTCGACCCGAATCTGGTGGTAACCTCCCCGTAGATCTATTTTCGAAAAAACCCGTGCTGTTCGCAGTTGGTCGATCAGTTCGTCGGCGCGGGGGATGGGATATCGCGATTTAACTGTAACCCTGTTGAGCGCTCGGTAATCGATGCACATGCGAAACCCTCCGTCTTTTTTCGGTGTGAACAGTATCGGTGCGGCGAATGGTGACGAACTCGGTCGGATAAACTGCTTCTCTAACAGGTAATCTAACTGCTTCCTTAGTTCGTCGAGCTCCGGCTGTGTCAGTCTGAACTGGCGCTGTACGGTTGGCTGTGCCCCCGGCTCTAGTTCTATCCTATGATCGTGCGCCCGCTGAGGTGGCAGTCCCTCCGGTAAATCGTCGGGAAAAATCCCTGGGTACCGTTTCAACAGCTCCTGTAGTTCGGGCGGTACCGCTGCCAGCAGTTTCTGAAAATCGCTCGGCTGCTCGGCTTCTCCCACTACTACGATGTCCACTGCGTACACGTCAGCTCCAGCGGCGACTGCCCGTTTCATCGTGATGGCGTTGACGTGGACCGTTGAAGACTCAGGCGACTGCCAGCGTGGTAGTTCGACCCAGTTACCACTACTTCGCACAGTGCAGCTGCCTGTCGTCCAGTCAATTCGCGGGTTATACCGTCGCAGCCAATCACGTCCCAGTAAAATATCGTGCCCATCCAGTGTCGTCGCGAGCATTTCCTGTGTAAACCCGAAGTTCCCCCCGCAGCGAACTTTTACCCTCTCCACCTTTTCCCGTATGGCCAGCGGCGTGCCGTCGACTAAGCGTGCGTCTATCTCAGGTAAGCACCGGCTGAGTGTCAGTTGCAGTTTCCGTGCGGTTGCGGTATTAACTAAGCTATGGCTTGCTCCTCCGTCGATAAAAATCTTCACTGCTGCTCCCTGTATTTTCCCGTAGATCAGTATTGGGCAATCCGTCGCTGTACCCTCCTTATTCATCTGAGCCCAATCGATGGCGTGAATCGGTACTGTGACTCGGTGAGGGTCGGTGCGGTTGGGCGAGCAGGCAGTCTCGTCAGTAGTTGGCCCAACTTCTACTGACTGCTGGCGTTTCCCTGTCTCTGAGACTCCCTCCCCTGCTCTGCTCCGCGGCGCCTCAGCTCCTCTGGACATTCACTCTTGCGATGGCCCGGCCTGTTGCAAGCAAAGCAGCGCCCCTTAAATGGCGCGGCAGCTGCATTCGTCGCAACGGCGTGTACGGTGGCGTGCTCGATCGGTCCCCGAGGACGATGTCCGTAGTAGGACCCCGGTCTCGGTCGGCGCAAAATGTCGATTTTCTCGGCGAGCGCGAGAATCTCGTTGAAGTTCGAGAGCCCGCGTAGCATGATTTCCTGCGAGATTTCCGGCTTCAGCCCTCCGACGTAACGGTCCACCCGCTCCGCTTCGTGCATGTAGCCGACCTGCTCGCATAGCGCGAGAAAACCGCTCGTGTAGTCTTGAACCGATCCGAGCTGCCGCCAAGTGCGCAGTTTCTGACGCGCCGAAATAGAAGCCGCGATCGGCTCGAAGCGCGCCCGAAGCCCTACGCACCACGCATCCCACGTGCTGTACTGGGCGGTTTCGCAGAACGAACTCCAGGTGACTGCTGGACCCGCGGGCCCTTCCTCTTGCGACGGTGGCTCGTAGGCGCGTGGCGACGTCACGATGACTCGCCACCAGTCCATAGCGGGGCCCCTCAGCAGCGAAACGGCGTACCGAATCTTCGCTGTGTCCGACTCGACGTAGTTTGCGTCGAAGAAGACGTTCATCGTGAAGATCCACGATTGAACCGTCGGACCCCCACGCTGGCTCGGGTCGAAACAGGGCGGGCGCTGCGGCTTGAGTGGCATTGGCGCCATGATTGCCTGATCGGCGCTTGTTGCCGCAAACTCCACTAGCCGACGGGCTTCGCGAGGCTCCTGAGAGCTTGGCGCGACCCAGTTTCTCCTCATGCCAGGCATTGGTTGGGCGGCGCTATCACTGGCTGCTCCTGAGCGCTGTCCCACGCTGTCGTGCTGTGTTGGTGTGCCAGACGAAATGACGATCGGCTCGTCCGACGGTGCAGGTACATTTTGTGGTGCTGGGTTGCTCGCCGTGGCTTGCTGACGCGCGGAGTCACGTTCCGCCGTGAGTGTCGCGATTTCGAGCGCCGATTCTTCAACTTGGCGCACCAGGCGGTCGAGCTGCTCCTGCGTCAGAGTCGCGAGATTGAATTCGGCCATGGCGGGGGTGTCGGGCAAGCTCAGCGAGAGCCTCTGTCGTGGCCGTGCGTGCTTACGAGAGAGCACTACGAGCGGCGGTGCTGTGTCGCTGAGAGACGTCTACCCCCCCCAAAAATTGAGATAGTGGGGAAGCGAAGGTGTGGATGCGGTCCGAGAAGAGATCGTAGGCTCTGAATACCAAGTGTTACGAGTGCAATTGAGTGAGCGAACGAAGATTGCACTATCGAAGCAAGAGTACAATGAGCGAAGGCATGAGCGAAGATTATATAGCGAAACTACAGTGGTAACGGTAATGTGTGAAAATGGGGTGCGCGACGGGCCTAGCGCCGAGGTTGGGAAATGTCGAGGCGGAGGTCCGGAGCGCGGGTTACCAACCGAGCCGTGAGGTTGGGTCGCGTCGTGAACAGTGGCGGGAACAGTACCGAGGCGAGTGTCGCGCATGGTAACGGATTACTGTTGGGTGCTGTTGGCGGGAACAGTGCTGTACGCGCTGAGCAGGGACGCGAAGTAAGGAAAAGGAATTTTCCTTACAACTGCAAACATTTATTACAAATAGATTGCAGATATCAGAAATTTAGTCCTAATCAATTTATCTACTCCACACCAGGCATAGCCGCAATGATCTTGGTCAAAAGTCCTAGCTATTGTCCAACGTTGAGTCACCAGTCATCATTGTCACTCCACTCATCCACCCTTTCAAGGGCAGGATCCTGATTGAACATTCCTGCGGAGACACT